ATATATATATATTAAAATAATATTTGTGTAATTTATTGATGTAAATCAATGTGTGAATTAATATGTTATAATCTGCATGTCTCAAACTCACCTTGTTGGGTAAAGCTGGATCAGCATTTGCCTTCAGCAAAAGTTTGACAGTTTTTGGATTCCCGCTCATGACGGCAGCATGAAGAGCTGTAGAACCATTCTAAATTGCAGGACAAAACACACACAGTCACAACTGAACCACTTTCTGGACTTTTTGGACGTCAGATGATGCTGCCGTACCTTCAGAAGGCCGAGTGAAGGAGAGAACTTGAGGAGCTCCTCAATGACGTTACAGTGGCCTTTATGTGCAGCCTTGAACAGAGCCGTGGAGCCGTCCTTCAGCCAGAAACACCAGAGACAGCAGAACAAACCATTTCATGCACTTTTAATAAGCTTCTTTTCCACCTGCCAAAACAATAACTAAAAATAAAATAAAATAAATGTTTTTTTAACATACTTTTCTATCTGCGTCACGGTCTGCACCTCGTAGCAGCAGAACTTTGACCACCTCACTGTGTCCCCTCTGGGCTGCCATCCAGAGCGGAGCTGTGCCATCCTGACCCAAAAAACACAATCAACATGGAGAACACAATGAAATACATAATAGCAAACCAAACACTGCTAATCAAAACCAAACTGCGCATAAGCCATGAGTATAAATCAGACCTCTCGCGGTTGATTGACTTTAGCCCCGGATGACAAAAGCTGCCGTATTACGGTCACATGACCCTCTTGGGACACCAAAAATAAGGCAGTCGCACCATCCTGAAACAGAGATGATGTGTATGATGAAAATGGTATTTAGAGAATATGACAATAGACAAGATGTACAAGAATATGATCTTTCATACATAAAATAGCACTACATTAAATGACAAATGAATTAAAAATTATTAAATTAAAATATATGAATAATAAATATAATATTAATTCTGAATCAATTAACAAATGTGACCCTGGACCACAAAACCAGTCATAAGGGTCAATTTTTTGAAATTGAGATTTATACATAATCTGAAAGCTGAATAAATAAGATTTCCACTGATGTATTTTTTTTAGGATATGACCATATTTGGCCGAGATAGGCTACAACTATTTGAAAATCTGGACCAATGCTCAGACAGACAGGAACTAATATGGGGTGAATAATTAGAGGCAGACAGGTGAGCACAATGACGGTGATTAACTAATGATTAGACGGGCTAAACCAACACAAAGGGAAGAAACCACAACAAACAGTCCACAGGGGCATTACACCAAGTGACTTAAGACTGGTTTTGTATATATATATAAGATCATAAAACCCTAATTAAATAAAATAGGAATAGGACAAAATAAAAAACAAACAAATAAATAAATATTTCACTACACTGAAATAACATTACATAACATAACAAAATAAATTAATAAATATAATTAAAAAAACATCAATTTAAATACAAAAAAAAATAAATAAAATAAAACATAAAAAAATCACAATATTAAAATAACATTAAATAAAACAATAATCTATTCAAAATAAATTAAGAAATAATGAATATAATAGTATAGAAAAATGAATTAAAAATTAAATGAATGAATAAATAATACATTTAAATAAATATTAGATTAGATTAAAATAACATTACACTAAATGAAAAACAAAATTAGACATTAAAGGCACAATATGTAAGATTTTTTTATTAAAATATCCAAAAACCACTAGAACAGTGTTATATATTTTGCTGACTTGTGTACTTATATTATCCCAAATGTTTCGAAGAATATTTAAATCCAGAGAAATAAGCAATTTTAACTAGTGACACGGACCGTTTCCATAGTGTCATTGTGTCGCCTGAAAAAGACGTCATAACCTCTCGATTTCTGTTTTTTTGTTTTGTAGAAAACATGGGAACACCAAAGACGCTTTAATATGTTGTGCGTTTTAATAGACCGGTGATGACCGCACAGAGTAGCATTATAACAGAACTTTCAAACGTATCTAGTATGATAAAACAGCGCTGTTTTTTCCCCCACATACGCACGACCGGAAGGAGCGGAAGCGGTCGACTGTGGCATAATAAAAGCTCTGCTGCTTTCGAGCCGTGTGTCACGCTCGTTCAGTGGCCTTGTTTCGCTTTGACGGCTTTCAGCCTCACCCTGCTTCATTCTCCTACGTTAACAAATCATTAGCTCATCCATGAACATGATTTCTGCCCGAGTCCCGCTGGATTGCATCGGCTGTGAGGATGAAGACCACAACTCCCATGATTCCACACTGTCACGGTGTCATCAAACTACGCCTTTGTCTCTTTGTTTATTTTGAATACGCGCACTCTAGCAGCGAAAATGACATATTGTGCCTTTAAATAAAAATAAATTTTAAATAAATGCAATGAAATTCTTGGCAAGATGTGCTAAAACTACTAAAATATTTCCACCAAATTATTTGAAAATATTTGCTGTCTCCCAAGGATATGTTTTCATTTAACCTGTGTCTTAAGAGCAGAGTCTAAACACTGAAACCTTAGAGGAGCTGGCACAAACATGCATCAGGCGTTTAGGCCTCATGGGAGGAATAGAGCTGACTAACATTGAGCTGGTCGTGGACGCTGGCGCCGTTCTTCAGAAGGGTCTCCACCACTCTGGAGTGAGCGCACTGACAGGCCGCGGAGAGAGCCGTGCCGCCATCCTGCAGATCACAAACCAGTCCATTTATTCACAGTCACAGCATACCTCAGTCTCGTTTAGATCTCAATCACAGCGCACCTCTGTCCGAAACTCTGTGGACGCTCCAAATTCAAACAGGAGCTTGACAATGTCATTGTGGCCCTGCTGTGAAGCGAAGAAGAGAGCGGTGGAACCTGTCTGAGGAACAGAGACATCATCAGCAGCCGCACACTAATGTACACACACACACACACACACACACCTCTGAGGAGTCATCTTAACAACCTGACACTCCAGCTCAGACAGAAATAACTTTCACTGCTGCTTATTGCTAGGGAGACGTCAACAGAAATGCTGCTGAGGAATATAAAGAAACAAAACAAACAAACAGATTACATTAGATCAAAATAATGCAATAAATTAAAAAGTAAAAGAAAACATAAATATTCAAATAATACATAACATTTAATAAAAACAATTTTTTATATATAATTTTTTTTATTTATAAAGGTTTTTATTAAATATTTCGCTAATTATTACAAAAGGGTCTGGCTATTTAATAGCAGCAGTTTTGTTTAAAACAAAACTAAGTATTGTTAAAATTCTTGATATATTATACAAACTGTATATTTAATCATTTTGATTTGTATTATATATATATATATATGCTATAAAAAGGCTATTCACTAAAGAAAAATAATCTACAGAAAAAATAGGCTATAAAAATAAAAATAACATTCACTTAAAATTTAATTAAAATAAAAAATGTATGAATTAAAAGAGTTTGTTAATATGAGTCTGTTAAACAAAATGACAAATCATTAAAAAAAAAAAGAATAGTACAAAATTATTTATTATAAATAATAGTACAAAATAAAAAATAAACTAAACATGAATTTATATTCGATTAAAACAACATTAAATAAATATAAATACATTAACAAATATAAAAAACATCTAATTAAATTAAAATGAAACAATATAAATCAATAAACAACAAATAAAATAAAATCATTTAATTAGATTAAAATAATGTTACATAAATAAAAACAAAGAAATTAAAAATTAATTAAAAATAAATGCATAAATATCATATGGATGTGTACATAAAAATCCAAGTAAATATAATAAATAATATCATTTTATCATAAATATAATAATTAAAAATAAATGCATAAATATAAATTTCTAAATTAAAAAAATCTAATTAAATATAATAAATATTTTATTATAAATATAATAAAAAAATCGAATTGAATAAAATAAAAATACAACAAAATGAAGGAAAACATAAACAATAAATTTAATAAAATAAATATATTAGATTAAAATAACATTACATTAAATGAAAAATTAAAATGAATAAATATAATATTGAAATATCCAAATAAAATATAATAACAATTAAATTCAATTAATTAATTACTGCATTAGATTAAAATAACATTATATTAAATATAATGCCATTTAAATACATCAATAAATACAATAATAACAAAATCAAATTAAATACAATCAAAACAAACATAATAAACTAAATTACAACTAAATAGAATAAAAATATTGCATCCAAATAAATAAAATCTTATAGTTAGGCTGAAATGTTTAGATGGATATTTTCCTGTAGTTTAAGAAGTGAAGATGTGTAAGTTTAATAATATGAGACCAATTTATTACAAACACTCTAGAAATAGTCCATTATAACAGCAATCTAAGCGCATCAGTACCTCTCTCTGCAGATTAATATCTGCACCTTGCATGATGAGTTCCCGGACACACTCATAATGACCGCTGTATGAAGCCACCATTAACGCTGTGGTGCCGTACTGACAGAAACACACAGAAAGCATTATCATATGCCATACAATCACTGGAACAGTGAACTATAAAAATAAAAATAACATTCACTTAAAATTTAATTAAAATAAAAAATGTATGAATTAAAAGAGTTTGTTAATATGAGTCTGTTAAACAAAATGACAAATCATTAAAAAAAAAAAGAATAGTACAAAATTATTTATTATAAATAATAGTACAAAATAAAAAATAAACTAAACATGAATTTATATTCGATTAAAACAACATTAAATAAATATAAATACATTAACAAATATAAAAAACATCTAATTAAATTAAAATGAAACAATATAAATCAATAAACAACAAATAAAATAAAATCATTTAATTAGATTAAAATAATGTTACATAAATAAAAACAAAGAAATTAAAAATTAATTAAAAATAAATGCATAAATATCATATGGATGTGTACATAAAAATCCAAGTAAATATAATAAATAATATCATTTTATCATAAATATAATAATTAAAAATAAATGCATAAATATAAATTTCTAAATTAAAAAAATCTAATTAAATATAATAAATATTTTATTATAAATATAATAAAAAAATCGAATTGAATAAAATAAAAATACAACAAAATGAAGGAAAACATAAACAATAAATTTAATAAAATAAATATATTAGATTAAAATAACATTACATTAAATGAAAAATTAAAATGAATAAATATAATATTGAAATATCCAAATAAAATATAATAACAATTAAATTCAATTAATTAATTACTGCATTAGATTAAAATAACATTATATTAAATATAATGCCATTTAAATACATCAATAAATACAATAATAACAAAATCAAATTAAATACAATCAAAACAAACATAATAAACTAAATTACAACTAAATAGAATAAAAATATTGCATCCAAATAAATAAAATCTTATAGTTAGGCTGAAATGTTTAGATGGATATTTTCCTGTAGTTTAAGAAGTGAAGATGTGTAAGTTTAATAATATGAGACCAATTTATTACAAACACTCTAGAAATAGTCCATTATAACAGCAATCTAAGCGCATCAGTACCTCTCTCTGCAGATTAATATCTGCACCTTGCATGATGAGTTCCCGGACACACTCATAATGACCGCTGTATGAAGCCACCATTAACGCTGTGGTGCCGTACTGACAGAAACACACAGAAAGCATTATCATATGCCATACAATCACTGGAACAGTGAAGCATGAAGGAAGGAAGAAGCTCGTACTCCATCTTTGCAGTCGACATCCACTCGGCCGCTGTTCAACAACAGCTGAAGCAAAGCCAAGTTTCCTTTCCTCGCTGCCCAAAACACAGCGTTAGCCAGTGGCGTCTCCTTCTGTCAGACACACAAACACAGAAACACATGAACACAGACAGATCACAATATTACCTCATGTGGACATTAACATGGTTAAATACAGTTTATATTACAATGTTAGCTAAGGATATCAGCATAAATCTTCTTATGCAACAGGGTCAAAATGAGCAAAGAAGTGTTGCTGAATAAAATATCATTAGGGGTTTGTTAAAGAAAAAAATTATTAATAAGTAATTGAATTGAATAACACCCAAATTAACAATTAGTTTCTACGACGTCAGCAGGTTTTATTATTTTTTAAATAAATGTATTATTATTTATACATTTTAAGCAGTAATGATTTTAATAAGTAATTACGAAATATAGAAAACCTTTTTGGTTGTAGCATAAAAATATAATATATAAAAATAACATTAATTTAAATGTAATTAACAATTTTAATTTAAATAAACAATTTAAAATAAAATAATATATTACATCAAAACAAATACACATTAAATCGAAAGTGTAGGATATGCATTATGTTAAACAAAATGACAGTAAAAAATGTTTTTATATTTATTATTTTAATTTTGTAAGGAAAATAAGACAATTCATAGAAAAAAATTTAAGAAAAAATAGTAATAGTTTATAGTCTATAATAGTTATAGCTTACAATATAATATAATATAATATATAAAATAGCATTAATTTCAAATGAAAAATTATTATTATAAGATATTTTAGCAACTACGGTTACCATGGTGACTTTTAAAACTGTGGGGGTGGGCGGACACTCGTCATAAGGCCATACAGACTTGCGTGACTGAGAGAAAAACTCTCCTAAATCGTTATTCGGACACACATTTATTAGTGTTCGTCTTAATGCATTTTTAGATTACACAGTTAATGTTTTACCAAAGCAAATGTTCATGTTTACCTTAAATGACATGCTGTGAATCTCATTCGTGCCTCATCTTGCAGGTTCGCGCGGTGCTCTCTATAATGTCCGTCCGCAGCGCGCGTTCATCCCGGTGCAGGTCTGACCGAGCGCTGTTTACCGCAGCGACTGCTTCACGGAAAACAGCACCAACAGGAGCGAGAGACGAATTCCCTGGTGTGTATCTCTCTCTCTCTCTCTCTCTCTCTCTTCATTCGTCAATGAATCGTTCGTATGAGTCGAATCTTTCCTATGAATCAGTTCAACCAGTTCACAAAACCGACCTGAATGATTAGTTAACTAATCGATTATAATTATAATTGAACGGATAGTAAGGTAAGTGAGTCAAGTGTTTTATTTTGATTGTTTTTGATTCAAAGTAATTTATTTGACATGTTTATGACTACATTAATAATGTTTATTCACAAACCCACTGCAGTTCTTTGGGTAATGTAATGTTTAATGTACTTCATGAAGTTGATTACAAATAATTGAATATATTTTCTTTCTCTTAGCTTTTTTAATATCAATATGGTAGCTACATTTAATGGTAAGTTTAAAATAAGTTAGGTAAAAATGTAATCTAGGTAAAAAAGTAACTACAATTTTTATCATGTAATCTGTAATCAGTAATGGAATACAATTTGTAATTAAACTACCCAACATACATTATATATATATATATATATATATATGTATGTGTGTGTGTGTGTGTGTGTGTGTTATGAGTTATTTTACTATACAAAAAGGCCACAACATTTATTTATTTTACTTAAAGGGTTCTATTATATATTTTGATAATTCTTACAAAAGGCTTTGACTGTTTACCAAACAAAGTGTTGTTGATCATATTGAAACATAACTAAATATTGTTACATTTTCTGTGGGGTCTGTATCACTTTTGATATAATATGTAGACTGTGTATATTTAATACAATGATGCATAATTTTCAGATTTTAAAGTTAATTTTGTAAGGAAAATTGTAAGGCTATTCGTTATAGTATAAAAATATAGTCTTTTTTATCTTTATTTAATACGACAAAATAATTTGGTAAGGAAAATAGTGAATATATATATATATATATATATATATATGTATATATATGTATACTGTGTATATATATATATATATTAAATAGGCTATAGTAAAAAAATGTAGTTATATTTATTATTTATATTTCATACAGCTAAGTGAAAATCAAAAGGCTATTCACTATAGTTTACAAATATAGGCTATAGTCTATAGTATAAACATACAATAAAATATATACATACAATAAACATATATTATGGGCTATAGTGTAAAAAATAATATAAATGCATAATATAAAAACAGTCTATATATAAATAAAGGCTACAGCACAAAACAAACTAATCTTTTTGTTTAATAAGCCAAAGTAATTTTTATAAGGCAAATTGCAAGGCTATTGACTTGTTCCAGACTGTGCATAATGAAAAGCCCCAAAATATGAGCTGCAGAGGCAATCATGGGATGAAGTGTAATAACAGGGGTAAATTATGACAGCATTATGACAGCACTGAAGAGCACACGGCTAAGTGAGATGAAGAAAGACAGATGACTCAGCAGTCACCCCCGTAATAAAGGCCTTGCTCTGGTTGGACTATACTTTGTGGATATAATGTCTGTAGTAGTACGTTCATTATATTCCAAACAAGAATCAAGTCAGACAAAACACGTCAGGCATCCAAACACTGCTGACTCAGTCCTCATTTAAATATTCAATAACGAACGAAAAGATGTCACATGAAGCATCACATTCGATTTCTTAGGACGACGTTTCGGAAAGCTTGATGTGCTGCAGTGTCGGTGATTTCGGTGAAGTTGTTGGTTAGGGTTAAATGTTTTAAGTCTTGTTAATTAGTGGCTTCCTCCTGCAGGATGACATAGTATGTATAGCAAGTTCTAACAGTATGGACACACCTTCAGCCTGATGGTATATAACACAGAAGACATGCTTCAGTTTCATCCACACGGCACTCCAAACACTCAGACACACACTTCCTGCAGAGCAACATGTTCGGTAAGTCTGGAAAGAAACACACATTTGTTTTGGACCTCGTGTTAACATTAGAAACAAGTTCAGTTGTTTGAATATTTATGTGCAATATTTAGTTATTTAAATTCAATTGCTGGACCAAAAATAAAACCTAATACTTTTGACAAAAAAAAAAAAAAACATACTGTTTTAAATATTATAAACAAGTTCAGTGGTTTAAATATTTGTGTAAATATTCAGTTATAAATATAATAGCATATATAAACATTTATTTAAATTGAATTGCTGAATCAAAAATCTTTCCTATATTGGGCTCTATTTATTTATTTTGAAAAACTGAATTAGTCTAAAAATAAGAACTTAAAAAAAACACAAACTTTCAAGTTAAACAAAGTAATAAAGTGCTCATTCTAGACCCGGTGTAAATATTATAAACAACCTCAGTTGTTTAAATATTTATGTTAAGTATTTATTTGAATTGCTGAAACAAAAATGTAATCTACATTGGGCTTTTTTTTTTTTTTTTAAATAATTATTTTCCAATTTTATTTGAATTATTTATTTTGTAAAAGAATCAGTCTAAAAGTGAATCATTCTAAGAATAAGAACTTTACACACACACACACCAAACTTTAAAGTTATTTAAAGTGATAAAGACAACATTTTTTCAACACTACCGGCAGGGATTGTAGGTGGGGGGAGTGAATGTACAGCGCTCTCTCCTACCTTCAGTACCATGACTGAGGTGCCCTTGAGCAAGGCACCGAGCCCCCAACTGCTCCCCGGGCGCTGCAGCATAAATGGCTGCCCACTGCTCCGGGTGTGTGTTCACGGTGTGTGTGTGTTCACTGCTGTGTGTGTGCACTTTGGATGGGATAAATGCAGAGCACTAATTCTGAGTATGGGTCACTATACTTGGCCACATGTCACATCACATTTTTAAATATTATAAACAAGTTTAGTTGTTTAAATATTTATTAAATATTTATTTAAATTGAATTGCTGAAACAAAAATGTAACCTAAATTGGGCTAATGTTTAAAATTAATTTTATTTTATTTATTTAAGAGAAGTGAATCAGTCTAACAAATAAGAGAGGGGGGGGGACTCAAACTTTCAGGTTATTCAAAGTGATAAAATAAAAAACCACAAGTTACCTAAACCTAAATTGTGCTCATTATTTTTATTTATTTTTGTGAAAGTTAAACAGCCTACGAAAAAAAAAATCTTTCAAAGTTTCGTTTTTCTTTTCAACCCTTTCCAACTATGTCTTTCTAAATTTTGCTTTATTTATTTATTTAGTGCTCTCTATTTTTATTTATATATTTGTTCACTTATTTATTTTTGTAAAAGTGAATCAGTCTCAGAATAAGAACTAAAATAAATAAATTAATTAAAACTCTACTTTCAGGTTATCCAAAGTGATATAGCAAATAATCATATGTTTGTTTTAGACCTGTGTAAATATTATAACAGGATTCAGAAAAATAAAGATGTAGTTATTAAAAATGACTACATTTTTAGTTATGTTAATTTAGTTCTTTTATTTTTTTTTTCAAACTTGAAAAGGAACCTTAATTGTGCTCACTATTCTTATTTGTTTGTTTGTTTGTCAACCAACCACAAAAAAAAAGCTTTTAGGTCATCCAAAGTGATAAAGCTAATGTTTGTTTAAAGGGGTCATATGATGCTGCTAAAAAGAACATTATTTAAACAAAGTAGTTTCGCTTTCACAACGAAAAACACAGCGGCCTAGCATGAGCGGAAGCCCCGGCTTAGCGTGCGCTGAGGCCGGGATAGAGTGAGCTGAGGTCGGGCTAGAGTGAGCTGAGGCGGTGGGGTCGAGAACAGCGCGCCCGGCGGATCCGGCGAATGAGCGGCAACCACATGTAATGACCCCGGGCTGGATTCCGCTTCGTCCACGGTGAAAGTTGATGTATTCCGTCAGCGACCAGCACAGATCCGCTCTAGGCATGACGAAGCGGATATCGTCCTCTTTTGGAAGACCAAACAAAGTAGTTTCGCTTTCACAACGAAGCACACAGCGTCTTCACGACATGGCTGCAGCGTCAACAAAACTACAGTGAGACTAAAAGTTACGCCTTCTTTCTTTGCGTGAACATTTGGGCGGCGTTATGCAAATCTTCCCACATAGTGAGGTAGATATGTGGGGGCGTGTTAGAACGAGCCGTTTTAG